GAAAAAGAAAAAAATGCTCAGGAATGAAACCTACCATCTTCCTCCAAATACAAGTTGTTCCTTTGTATCTGAATAGTTTTGCTTTATTTATGTTGCGGTTTGAAGAACTTGCTGGGTCCTGTTATTGCTCTGTATACCAAAGTGGTTGGATTTTTTTTTCTCTTTTTTTCAGGCAAGTTTATTGATTTGTTTCTGACAGTGTTTAATATTAAAAGTTATAAATCTACCTGCAGTAGAACCATTTCACCATAAATATCTGAGAAAGTGGAAATGTGGTGACTGCGTGCCAGGAGGGGCTCCTGGTGTGGCCGTTTTCAGCCACTAGACCCAGACTGCTTGATAGAGGCGGGTCGCGGGATTTGAACCTGCACATGCGATGAAAGTATTCAAACATGCTTTTAAGAAAATATGATGCCGTTCAAAAAATATTTTTGTCACAAATCAAATGTCAGTGTTAAGTGCAATGTTTATAGAGTGCAGCCGCATTGTGTGATGTAACACATAAAAAAATAGAAGTGATGATATATTTGGACCAGACAGCACGTTCTTCTTAGAAGTCCACTTATTTGGAAGGATGCTTTTATAGTACCAGCAAGTCAGTAAGTCCAGTCAGAAAGTTCCATCTGCTCTACCCCTGATTGCTTCTGCTTTCTTACCATCTCCACTGTTGGTGTCTCAGACTAAGCCACTATCTGATTTTTTTCTGCACGGTAGCGATACCCTCGTCTTCTCACAGGTATACTGGGTGTCCGCACTGTCTTCCATTCTCTACGTGGCTGCAAGGCTATTCAGTTCTTATCTCCTCCTGCATAAAACCTTGAAATGCCTTCCCCGCTCCCCTTTTTAAAAAAAAAATCAGTTAGGGTTTGTTTAGGGAAACAAAACAACTATGAGTGAAGTGGAACAAGGAATTTATGATAGGGATTAGACCTTTCATGGTTGTGGGAGGGGTTGGGAAAGTAAACTGAAAATCAATTCACCAAAAATCAATGTTCTAGCCAGGCATAGTGACTCATGCCTGTAATCCCAGGAGACCGAGGCAGGAGGATTACTTAAGCCCAGGAGTTCGATTCCAGCCTAGGCAACATAGTGAGACCTTGTCTCTACAAAAAATTTTAAAAATTAACTGGGCATGGTGGCACGTGCCTGTAGTCCCAGCTAGTCAGAGGCTGAGGTGGAAGAATTGCCTGAGCCCAGGAGGTCGAGGCTGCGGTGAGCTGTGATTGTGCCACTGAACTCCAGCCTGGGCAACAGAGTAAGACCCCTACTCAAAAATAAATAAATAAATAAATCAGTATTGTAATTTGACCATTGCATTTAAAATTGTAAGGCTAGTACCTTTAACCAAGGTCTTGGGCCGGATATCACAGAGGCAGGTATGGGGGAAGAACGTATGTCTATTAAATAAGAAGAATAGTGCACTGCATTCAAGAGAAACCCCACTCCTTCACAGATATGATATGATTCTGGAAGTCCTTCCCTCTGGAAGGTGAAATGAAACTAAAAAGTAGGTCCAACCTAGGCAGACAGAATCATCTTAAGCATATAGGCTGGGGTGAAAACATTGTGGAGAAATCTGAATGAGATTTAAACTACTCTTACCCTCAAACGATCTTCTTCCACACTGTCTTCAACAATTAGACACATTTTCTAAATATTTTATAAAATTTAATTTATGCATCCATTATTAAAATAGACCAATCTTACATACTATTTCTGGCTTCCAGCTGTGTTGTAGGACTGTTCTCTGATTCTCTTCTCTTGTCTCCTCTTGCCCCCTTTTTGTCTTTCGGAACTCCCATGTTCCTTTTTGATTCTAGACCCATCAGAATTAGGAGGGTTTTTTCCTTTGACCAGGCTGTCATAGTAATTGCAGATTATTCTCAGACAACTCAGGTTTCACATCTGAAGTACAACAAAGCTTTCGGCCAGTGTATTTATAGTGTTACCTACTACTTTTCCCACTAACTGCTGCACGGGAATGGTCAATGCTGTCACTTCCCATGCATGCTCTGGAAAATACCAGAACCCTGCTTTTTTATTAGCAGTCACTCCTGTCTGAGCCATTGTAGACAGCAGCTCTTATCGTGAATTACTTCCCTCCCTGTTCTGTGAACTCTCATCTCCTTGGTGGAAGATCACCAATAGCCCCTTGCCTGTGTGTTGAGCAGAGGGCAAACTCGAGGCTGACTGCAGGCCGAAAAGGGCTTCTTAGCAGCACAGGAAGCATGAATTCTAGATACGCACTTTACCCCAGTCAAAGACTTACTCTGGCTTGGAGCAGTGTTGACTACAGCGTCTTCTTTAATCATTTCTCGTTCTTTGAGTGTGGGATACACTGTGTGTGATCATAACATGCCAACCAGTTCTGCCTGAGAGCATTAGAGGAATTTCCCTGAAGGGATGACATTTCCTAAGTGATTCTTTTTTTCACAAAGACTCACAGCTTGTGAGCTTGAAACGTACCAACATTGCTCTTTCAAATAGGCATCAATTAAATATGCAATTTGGTACTTTTCTAGTAAAAGTGATAGCGTTTTATCAGTTTATCTCAGTTTCTGCCCCTCTGTGACTCCCTGGAACACATCTGTAAGATGATCAGCCAGAAGGAAGGAAAGAGCAAATTAACCCACATGCAAGATTGTATCTATTATTAATGGTGCTGTGACTTCAACCACTGAAGGAATGAACTACATATTCCTTCCTCTCAGTAAAAAGGAATAAATCATTATTTTTTTATTTGTTTTTGAGACAGGGTCTGGCTCTGCTGCCCAGGCTGGAGAGCAATGGTGTGATCATAGCTCACCACAACTTCAAACTCCTGGGCTCAAGTGAAACTCCTGCCTCAGCCTCCCAAGTAGCTGGGACTATAGGCATATACCACCATGCCCAGCTAATTTTTAATTTATTTTTTTTTTGCAGAGATCAGGTCTGGCTATGCTCAGTTGATCTCAAACTCCTGATCTCAAGCGATCCTCCCACCTCTGATTCCCAAAGTGCTAGGATTACAAGCGTGAGTTACCATGCCTGGCCAGAAATAAGACATTAAACAGTGAGTTCCTAGACAGCACCAATGAAAAATGTTGCCTTCTGTAGTGACTGGCAGCTATATAGTGGTTCTCTGAACAGATACTGTCTGGTTTTATCATGGCCACCATGTGAATTGCCTGCGTGTTGGAAGTTTGGCTTGCAGAAAAGCACCATCAAACAAAAATCGATGAGTGTGTTAGCCACAAGTTCCAAAGTTCTCTGTCAAAAAGTCAAAATCAACCATTTATGCCTTATGAGCCAATATATCCCAAACACCTGAGTTCCAGATAATTGCTGAGGCTGTACATAAATTGGCCTATAATTCTGTAACCCTCTGACTTCTGACATTGTCTTCACCTTGTCCTATGTGTATTCTATACTCTTTATAAATATTCCCGTTGTTCCTGCAAATCATCTCCCCTCTGATAAGCCACTTCCTCTGAAAAGAAATAACTTAGAAAATATATAATAGTTCCTAGAATTATCGTAACAAAGCTACTATTTGTTGAACATGGGCTGTGTGCCAAACACTTCCACATGTATTTTTACCTGCAGTACCTAATTTAACTTTATTCTTATGACAGCCTCTGAAATGTGCTTTGTTATTCTAATTCACAAATAAGGAAACTGATGCTCAGGAAGTCAGAGACGGCCTTCAAAGGGATGTGGGGGGAGTTAATAATTCCAGAATGTCTTTTGAAGGAACAATTTGAGAGCTTTGAAAAACGCTGTATTTTCCTCAGTTCTCAGCTGGTTCTTCCCCAGCGTGCTCTGAATGTGTCTGGTCAGGGCTCTGGATGGAACTCTCTCTGATCCCGGTAGTGGTTTAGCTCTTGGCCATGCAGGTGTTGGTCATCAGCACTTTCCACAGCACTTTTTTCTTTCTAAGCCATATCCTGTCATTTAGGAAATGAAAGGATTTGTAAACAAAAGCACTGGAATTGGGCTTCTTGCTGTCACTGATAGAAATCAAATAGGTGCATACTTAATTTATGTTACAAATGAAAGTAAATCAAGAATAGAAAGGTCTTTGTCCTTTTTAGAGACAACAGAGTACAGTTTCAATAAATCACAGTCGCTTTATCATGACTAAGAATTTTTGCTCTTCAGTATTTTTGAAGTGTGTTTCTTCTGACTGTGTGTTCTAGACAATCAAATATCCCAAGTGGAGAGGTAGGGTCTTTTTTTTTTAATTAAACTTGGGTGTGCTCCCCCCAGGTATTTTGGGGGGCAGGTTCTGTGAAATCATGCAGGTCAGAGATCTTATCTTTTGTTTCTCTGTATCTCTAATTTCAGGTATATCATGAACCTACAATAGAGTTTGTTTACTTGGATAGTGAATGATGTGTGGCATGACCAGTAGCCTCTATATATTTAATTAAGCTGAAAAATAACAAATGAAGTGGTACTAATATAAGTGACAAATGATACAATACTGGTTTTGATATGAGTTTTTTATTATGAAGAGTTATTTCGCTTATTTGTTTTTTACTTCTTGAGACAGAGTCTCACTATGTTGCCCAGGATGGTCTTGAATTCCTGGACTCAAGTTATTCTCCCACCTCAGCCTCCCAAAGTGCTGGAATTATAGGCATGATCCACTGCTCCCAACCAAGAGTTTTTTTAAATGAAGATTATTGTCAAACTGCTGGAGAAAACATACCTATGACTAAGAGATATGATTAAGTGGAAGAAAAATGTGAACGGAACAGCGAGAAATATTTCCAGTAGATGAGGTTAGGACTAAATCAGGCAGAGGAGTCCCAGTGAAAGTGGCAGGGAGCATTTAACACCAAGTGTGCCACTTAGATCTGTGGTGAGGACAGACTCTGACCTTGGCAGGATAAGTGAGATTGTACCTCTAGTTTCATTGATTCACTTTTTTACATGAATATACATTCAAAGCCTCCCACCCTTTAGGGACAGAATTTATGTGATAAATTTTCTGATTACTATTTTTTTTTTCCAGAAAACCCTCATTTTAGTGCATCTCCTGGTGGTACCATCCAACATGTCTTCCTTAAGTGGGAAAGTCCAAACTGTCTTAGGTCTTGTGGAGCCAAGCAAACTGGGCCGCACCCTGACCCATGAGCACTTGACCATGACCTTTGACTTCTGTTACCACCCACCTCCTCCATGCCATGAAGCTACCTCCAAGGAACCCATCATGCTGAAAAATTTGTTTTGGATCCAGAAAAACCCCTATTCCCATAAAGAGAACCTTCGATTGAATCAGGAGACAGAAGCCGTAAAGGAAGAATTATTATATTTTAAAGCTAAGGGTGGAGGGTGTTTGGTGGAGAACACAACCTCTGGGATTAGCCGAGATATGCAAACATTGAAGAGGCTTGCAGAAGAGACTGGCGTCCATATTATATCCGGAGCTGGGTTTTACGTGGATGCGACTCACTCCTCAGAGACCAGAGCCATGTCAGTGGAGCAGGTAGAAAGCCCTAAGTTCTCTGACAATATTTGTTTATAAATTCAAGATAGGCTGAGCATGGTGGCTCACACAACCACTCTAGGATACCAAAGTGAGAACATTGCTTGAGTTCAAGACCAGCCTGGGTAACATAGCAAGATCTCATCTCTACAAAAAAGTTCACCAGATGTGGTGGCACATGCTACTCAGGAGGTTGATGTATAAGGTTTGCCTGAACCCAGGAGGTCAAGGCTGTAGTGAGCTGTAGTTGTGCCATTGCACTTCAACCTGCTTGACAGAGTGAGACCCCAACTCAAAATAATAATAATAATAATAATAATAACCAGAACCTTATAAATGCCATGGGCCTTAGAGGTAGCTAGGCATGCTGCAGAAATTTGCTAGCTAACAAAGACATCTGCTAATGGAGACCCAAATTGTTAACATTTTATAAAGAAAAAGTATTGAGGAAAGAGATCTTAATGCACTGGCCATTGAAAACCCCAACATGTTAATACTCAGACTTGCGTATCTGGGCTCGGTAGTGGCACCACAGCCTGTTTGTAAACCTCCCTTTTCTATTGTAGGCTTCAGTTATGCAACCTTAATCTTTTTTCCTGGATTTTATAATAACTCGCAATAAAGATTCACTGTAGGGTGAAACTTGGCAGGCAGAGACTTGGCACATTTGTGAATTTGTTTCGTTCTCCTTTTGCAAAACAGGAGAGGTGGAAGAAAATTCATTTCCCTGTCTTTGTCATAATATGATCTTAAGCAAGAATGAGCAAAGGAAGTAAATCTTTTTGGGGGGAAAAAAGAATAAGCTGCAAAGTTTTTTTGCATGTGTATGTCTCTCTCTCTAAACATACACATATCTGTTTATACATGCTTATGCATATATATGTGTATGCATATGTCTTTTCCATTGCTTGTTTGACAGGCATAGAATGTCAGCTGCAATTTTTGCAAAGAATCAGTTACTCCCTAAAATACTCTGGATTTCAAAATTTATCTGCATTATGTTTTCAATCAGGACTTAATTTTTAAAATATATTTAAGTTATTTAAAGACTGTGCTGATAACAGAGGATTATATATTCTTTTAAACACTTTTAGCAGTAAATATACTTGTGAACCAAAAAGTATAATCATAGAAGTATTGGGTGCTGTGAATTTTCTGTGCTGTCTAGGGTAAAGGACTGAATAAATAAGAGAGAATTATAATAAGAGAAGGTCATGTTGGGTGTGATGATGTTTCTGTAGACCCAGGTACTCGGGACACTGAGGTAGGTGGATTGCTTTAGCCCAGAAGTTCAAGTCCGGCTTAGATAACGTAGTGAGACCCCTGGCTCTTAACAAGAATTACTTGATACAGTTGACATAGATTCAGTTCAACAGCAGTCTCTCTGTATTCCAGATATTGCTTCTCAGGTTAAATTACAGAATTTTTTTCCTCAATCTGAATGCACTCTCTTTAAGTCACTTTTTTCCTCCTACAGCTTCCTAAAGCTGTGAATTTCTTGGTAACTAATCACAGTAAGATATTAACAAATCTTAGACTTAGAGCTACTTTTTGAGTTTGCGGTTTGGCCAGCAAAATGCCTTTCTCATTGGCCAATACTAATGGAATGAATGTTGAAACATTGTTAAAAGAATAAATGACTTAATAAATAAACTCATTCACATACCATGGTGCCTCTATTTTGATAAATTTCACAACCTGCAAATTATGTTCTTTCTCATTCTTCCATAGTTGACTGATGTACTTGTTAATGAAATTCTCCACGGAGCTGATGGAACTGGTATCAAGTGTGGTGTCATTGGAGAAATCGGTTGCTCCTGGCCTTTGACTGAGAGTGAAAGAAAGGTTCTCCAGGCAACAGCTCAAGCCCAAGCCCAGCTTGGTTGTCCTGTTACTATCCATCCTGGACGGAACCCAAGTGCACCATTTCAGATTATCCGAGTATTGCAAGAAGCAGGAGCAGACATCTCCAAAACAGTCATGTCACATATGGACAGGTAAGCAGGCTATCTTATAAACGGGTGCAAACCACCCTATGATGAGTGGATGATCAAATAAAGAATCAACAATAATCAGATCAATGCAACACCAACTGCCTAGAGAAAACCACTAACTAGAAACGTAATTGTACACCTAATCCTTAACTGGACCCCACAAAATCATAATAAAAAATATTGATTTTTAAAAAAAAAACTGTTTTGAGCAGTGGCAAAAGTGTCTTGATAGGTATAATGCAACAAATGGCAAGTACTGGAAGGTGGTTGAAGTTTAAACATGTAAGAATACACAATTTTTAAGATAAATAAATTCCAGGTTAAAAAGAAAAAAGAAAATAGTATTTACAAAGCTTTGCCACTGACAGTAATACAAGTCATTGCTGCCATTTTTTGTGCTCCTTCTCTGTGCCAGACAGTATCCTAGGTATTTTGCATAAGTCATTTCCTTCGTCTTACTTAATCCTTCATAACTCTTCAAAGTAGGTGTTACCGTCTGCTTCACTTCTTTGTGTGCTGGCGTAATATCACAGTTACTGCCAATTCTGCTTGCTCAGTATTTGCCAGTAATTGGAGCGATACATTTATCTACAAACACAAAGAGGAAAAGTCAATCGTTTTACCCTGAGAGAAAACCACAAATATAAATGTTCAAGTATGTGTCACCTGTTGTAGTTTGAATCTCTGCATTTGAGGAAATGCAATTATAAAAAATAATGGCAATAAGAATAGTATTAGTTTGGTGGTATTATGTATTAGTTTCCTATGGCTGCTGTAACAAATGATAACAAACTGGCCATCCCAAAACAACAGAAATGTATTCTGTCATTGTTCTAGAGGCCAGAATTCTGAAATCGAGGTGGCAGGGCCATGCTTGCTTCAAAAGCTTCAGGGGAGAATCCTTTGCTTCTTCCTTGTCTGGTAGATCCAGGTGTTCCTTGGCTTGTGGCTGCATAACTGCAATTTCTGCCCCTGTCTTCACATGTCCCTCTCGTCTCCATCAGTCTTCTTTTCTGTTTCTTATAAGGACACTTGTCACTGGAGTTAGAGTCCACCCACATAATCCAGAATGATCTCATCCTGAGTTCCTTTAGTTAATTCTATCTGCAAAGACCCTTTTCCCAAATAAGGTCACTTTCAGAGGTTCCAAGAGTTAGAAAATAGGCATATTTTTGGTGGGCCCACCACTCAATCTTTACATATTATGTTAGATACATAAGGACCAGCAAAATAAATGACTGTATAAACTGATGCCGGCTGCTGTTAATTTTATGAACAAGTCCGACAATGTTGCTAAAGTGAGTCATTAGCCTTTCGATTGAATTTATTAAAGAATTGATACAGCATCAGTGAGACTAATAATATATTACAATTACTTCTACTTACATATTGGAATAAAGCCATGTTAACAAATTGATAAATCCTGATCATTAGACCTGACATTCTGCTATTTAATGAACTAACAGTCCTACAGAATGTATTGATAAAATGCTTCTACTTAATAGAAATATTGTAAAATCCTGTGTGTAAAATATAGACTAAATTGTAGTTGTGGAAGAAGAGAGAAGTCAATATTAATGGGAAACTGAGGAACATCAAGGTAAAGGCAATCATCCTGGCAACTGTGTTGGTATCAAGAACTATACGTGGCTATCTTCAGGAATCTTCTAGTTGTATTGGTAAAATAGAGGGATGCTTCTACATACTGATCATAGAGGCAGTGCATCAGAATGTGAAGACTAGACTCTGGCTCCAGAGAGACCTTTAAATCCTAACTCTACCATTTTCTGTGAGATCTTAGGTAGTTTCGTTTGAATTTAGAACAATGTATTTCATAATGTTACCTTGTATGATAGAGAATATATATAGCACATTTATTCAATAAGTATGATACTTTTTAAGCATGAAAAAAGTATTGTGTAGCATGTCATACATACAAAACGGTGAAACCCTAATATATAAATTTTAAATTTATGAATATTATAGTCTTGAAAACATTGTATTCTGTGGTTATTGTGTCGTATATGTTCTATATATGTTCATTAAACTACAGTCATTGAGTATGGTGTTCAGATATTCAGTATTTCCACAGATTTTTTGACTGTTCAATCTATTGATTACTAAGAAAGTGTTATTAAATGGTGGATTTTAGTTTTTTCTTGTACATATTTTAACTTCTGCTTTATATATTTTGAAGCTATATTATGGCATACATACACATTGTTATATCTTCCTAAATCTTACATCAACAGATATTGAGCTACCTTATAAGTAGTAGTACAAGCCTTTTTGTTTCAGAGGCTGTTTTATCTAGTATTAGTGTAACTATATTTTTTTTGTTAGTATTACGTTTACATTTTTTCCATATTTTACCTTTCAGAGTTTTTATATTCTAGGCGTGTCTTCTGTAATGAGCAAGTGTCTAGTTTTGAGTTTCAGCCAGATATGCTCTGTCTTTCAAATGGCTTTAATTTATTTACATTGACTTGTTTTTTACATTGCCTATTATTTTGTTTGTTTGTTTGTTTGTTTTGAGTTGGAGTCTCACTCTGTTGCCCAGGCTGGAGTGCAGTGGCACGCTCATGGCCACTGCAGCCTCGACCTGCTGGGCTTAGGCTATCCTTCCACCTCAGCCTTTCAAGTAGCTGGAACTACAGATGCATGCCACCATGCCCAGTTTTTTGTGATTTATTGTAGAGGTGAGGTCTCACCAAGTTGCCCAGGTTGCTCTGAGACCCCTGAGCTCAGGCAATCCTCTCATCTCGGCCTCCCAAAGTGCGGGATCACAGGTTGAGCCACCATGCCTAGCCGTATGTTTTATTTTTATTCTCATAGTTATTGTTAACCCTTCTTGATTTCTTTTTATTGATTATTTTTTCCCCTCATTGTATTTTTCCCCTTTACTTCTTGGGAAGGTGCACAGCCAGCCCCCACAAATCTACAGGTTCCATACCCTTGGATTCAGCCAAACATGGATCAGAAATATTCAAAGAAAATAAAATTTTAAAATACAACAATAAAAAATAGTACACAAAAAAACCAATACAGTATAACAACTACTTACAAGAGGAGACCCCCCAAAAAACCAGAATTATATTTTGGAGCCAGCCCCTTGTAGTACAGGCTTCCCTTACCAGGTAAGTGTTTTAGGAGCCCATAGGCATCAGTGTACCAGCTAGCGTTGTGAGAGGCTGTGTTTTGGCTTCAGTGGATTTTTTTTTTTTTTTTTTTTTTTGGAGATTCTTTCAACACATTTGCCTATTTCATTATGGTTGATTTACAAGCACACCTGCCCACACCGCACTGGGTGTTCAGCACTTTTTGACCAAAAACTGCATGAACCTCGGCCCCACCCTCCCTATTCACCCAATCTCACCCCAAGTGACTTTTTTTCCCCCTGGATGAAAAAGGCCTCAGAGAGGACCATTTTGCTGATGTGAAAGAGTTTTTTTTAAAAAACTACAGAAGCACTAAAAGGCATCAGAATTGATTAGTTCAAAAACTGTTTTGAGCAGTGGAAAAAGTGTCTCCATAGGTGTATTGCATCAAATAGACAGTACTTTGAACACGACTGGAGTTTAAACATGTAAGAATAAATACACTTTTTTTTTTTTTTTTGAGCTGGAGTCTCACTCTGTCACCCAGGCTAGAGTGCAGTGGCAAACTCACAGCCACACCAGCATCGATCTTCTGGGCTCAGGCGATCTTTCTGCCTCAGCCTTCCAAGTAGCCAGAACTACAGGCGTGCACTACCATGCCCGACTAGTTTTTTGTTTGTTTATTTGTTTTGTTTTTTGATTTATTGTAGAGATGAAGTCTCACCAAGTTGCCCAGGCTGTTCTCAAACCCGTGGGCTCAGACAAAAGACACTTTTTAAAAATAAATAAATTCTGGGTTTTTTGAGTCTCCCCTCATATATACCATTTACATTATATTAGATGTTATAAGTAATCTAGAGATAATTTAAAGTATATGGAAGGATGCATGTAGGTTATATGCAAATATTATGCCATTTATATGACTTGAGCATTCACAGATTTTGGTATTCTCAGAGTGTTCTAGAACCAATCTCGGTAAATAGCAAGGGATGACTGTATATACTATTTCTATTCTTTTAGTTGTTATAATAGAAAATACAACATGTATTTAATTTGCCCAATTTTAAATTTAATAAGTATTTTTATCATCCTTCCTAGTAATACAGAGATTTTAGAATCCTTCAGCTTCAATCACTCACCATGTAAGTGACATACTATTTTTTCCAGAGTGTTGAGTCTACTTAATTTTTCAAAATCCCAATGATTTGGCCTTACTTTGTTGTTATGAAATATATAAATGTTCAGTGTTTACTTAGAATAAACTTTCTGTTTTTTCACGATTCCTTCTTGCATCTCAGGTCTTCATTCTGGAATTATTATTTTTTTCCTGAAGTACATAATTTCAAGTTTATTTTGTGAGGGCCCATGTTGGTAGTAAATGTTTAGATTTTGTTTGCATAAAATTTACCATATTAAGACATTTTGAAATACAGTTCAGTGTTAAGTACAGGGCACTCCACACGGACTGTGGCAACCGCCATTCCACTTTCTGTCTCCATGAACTTGACTCCTCTAGGTACCTCATGTACATGGAAACACAGAAAGCTTTTTGTGACTGTTTAAATGTTAGACTTGAAGCGTTTAGACCCACACAGGTGCTATAAATTCTGGCCACTCAACTCAGCACATGTAGATTTGTGGTTATGGGTTCTCAAGGAAGACCTTTTTTCTCAATTTCCCTCCCCTTCACCAAAAGACAAGACCGAGAAAGACATATACAGATACTCCTTGACTTAAAATGGGCTTATGTCTCAATAAACCCATCGGATGTTGAAAATATCATAAGTTGAAAATGCATTGAATACACCTAACCTCCCAAACATCATAGCTTAGCCTAGCCTACTTTAAACGTGCTCAGAATATTTACATCATCCTACAGTTGGGCAAATTATTAACATAAAGCTT